CCTCCTTCTGATCTTCCTTTTCCCGCAAAGCGTCGGTCGCCTCACTTCCGGCCATTCCTCTTGTTTTTCCAGAGTAATCCTTTTTTTATTTGTTGTCTCCTCAATTTCCATATGCTCGGACTCAGACGAGACAATTTTATCTCTTGCCCTGAAGCCAGTAGACGGCACTCGTCTAGGGCTTTTCTTTGGGGTTTCCTGCGCGCTTTTCCTGCTGCTGCTCCCTTCTTTTAAACTTGGAGTCTTGCTTTTCTTTTCTGTTTCTTCCTTCCTCATTTTTTGGAGTTCAATTCGGTAGGCCTTTGCCTCCCCGACCGCTTGGAGGGCCTTCCTCCTTTCAGTTTCCACCTCTTTTTCCAGTCTTAGCTTGAGATTTCTCGCTTCAAGGTTCTTACTTCCTCCGACTTGGCGTCCTCTTTAGAGAGGGCAGCTCTTTCTTTAAAGATCTCCATGATCCCCATGGAAGATGCCGCCGCGATTTTAAGACTCTTTTGGTATGTTCCCTTCAAGTTGCTAGATGTTCTGGCAATTCTCGGGACTTCCGTCAGGCTATTACTTGCTCTGTTAGCCAACTCTTCGTTTGTTAGCTCCTCCATCTGTTCTTTGATTTTTTCTGAGTTGACCTTGGCTTTCTTGAATAGCTCTGTGTCACTGTATTCCCTTATCAGCTTTTCTCTATCCAGTCTGAGTGCTTCTTCTTTTGCCTCATTGTACTTGAGGATAGCTTTCTTCCGACGTATTCTCCGGTCGTTCTGCTTTTCCTGCCATCCGAGTCTGATCCAGTTCTCTCCCTTTTTCTATTGCCCGCTGTTCTCTGTGGTCCCGAACTGCCAACATTTACTTTCTCCGGGGGTGAAACATCGGAGTCCTCCTCGATCACCGCCTTCCCTCCCCTGTTTCTGTAGTAATCCATTCCCACGTCGCTTTCGGATGAACTGTTTTCTTTTGTATCAGTCTCCATCAGCAACGACTCCCTGCTGCTTCTCTCCGTTGTTTTCTCCTTATAGAATCTGGGTCCTGGCTTTTTGAAGAAAGAGCCTTTATCTTCCCTGGATCCTTCTGTCTTTGCTTCTTGTGATTGGCCCTCCCTTGGTACCACAGGTTGCACTTTCCCCGTTATGTCTCGGTTCTCTCTCCTTTGGTTTCCTTCGACCTTGTTTTCCTCTTCTTTCTTTCCGTTTTCCTCATCGATACTCGTGGTTATAGTGTCAATTTCCATTTTTTTGTTTTTCCCCACTCCCCATGCCGGCTGCGCCGTCCAGAGTGTAACCTCCCTGTCTTCCGACAAGGCCCCGAGTTCCCCCGGGGGGACGGCATATGTCTCCGGCCCGCGGATAGGCATCGCGAGGTCTGGACTCCGGCCCCCTACTTGACTTCGTTTTTTATTGCCGCACTTTCTGAACTAGTACACACAGTGCAATAAGTTAAAGTGAAACAAATATACGTTTGTTTCACTTTAACTTATTGCACTGGTTCAGAGTGCAGCAATAAAAAACAGACCTAGAGAATAGACTGCGCGATCCGTATCTAAGTAATGTATCAAATGTGGTCGACAATAATGAGAGAGAGGGACCGTGGGAGACGGCCAATCTCCTTCTCATTCTCTCTCCCATTACACCATTCAATGGAAAGAGATAGAAATGGCCGTCCTCGGAGATCCTCGGACATCTCTATCCTATAGCAAATCAACAGGCTCGAAAAATTTGTCGTACGACGAAAACGCATAAATGTAATCCCACCCAACACGTTCAAATAAATTTGTTAATTATCAAATATGCTTATTACGCAAGCCACTTGTGCAGTTTACTTGAATGTGTACAGCACAGCCAGCCTTACCTTCATTTTTTACTCGCACCTTTGTTTTCTATCTTTTCAATGCTCGAATATACAATTTAATTTTAAGTGTAAAAATTTTTGAAGATTTCAAGCAATGCGAACAAACCTAATGTAGATACTACACCTTTTGCAATTCAAGTAGCATTTTCGTTTATTTCTCAGACAACACGCATGTCTAAAAATAATGAAAGGCGCCTTAAGGGGATCCTAAAGCAAAGCTCGAACTCCGACGAAATCACTAGATGTCGCACCGCGCGCCGCACATTGACATGTCTTTTTATACTATCACAGCCTTTGACTATATACCTCTGGACTGCTAACGGCAGCCATTACTGGAATCCAAGATCTCAGAGCCA